CCCTCCCCGTCCCACCGGTAAACTTAGTTCCTCCTCTTCCCCCAGCTCGTCGCCGATAAAGGCCATATATTTTTCCCCCATCCCCAGAAGGCCGCCCTGGATCCGCGTATGATCGGAGTATTTACCGAACTGTAGCAATGCAGAATCGCAGTGGAAGAAAATCACTGCTTCTGACGATGTGCTAAATTTCGCTGTAATTTTCAGAAGGATGGGGAAGTACGAAAAGGGGACGCCGAAGGAAATTGCAAATCGATGCAAATCGAAAGGCCTACAGAAATTGAGATGGTAAGATTCATCGTATTTTATGGATGCAACACTTTTGCCCTGATGTCCACTACTCTTCTGTGTGGGATGACATCAAAATTATTTCTGTAAAAAGAAAAAAAACTGAAAGTGACACGGAATTAAAGCTAGAAGTGCGAAACTCTGTCATTATAGCGTAGAAATTGATCAGAGGGATGCGAAGTTTATGCAAAGGGCGCACAGTCCATCCAAAACGCCGTAAAATTTGATCCGAAGAATGAAAAAATTTACCCGAAAAGTATTAGATTGCTATAGAGGGTAAATGAATGTAGCCGAGAACGCTAAAAAGTGCCATTTAAAGAGACAAAATGAGCGTGGAAAAATAAAGGCAATTTTTCGCAACTATTTAAGAAGCAAAAAAATAACCTTCTTTGGGAAACAATAGAAGAGCATGCAAGGGAAGGGGAACTGAGAGACACTGTTTCTAATTCGTCTTGCAAATCAGTTACATGACAATTCAAAACATGGCGGATAGGAGGCTGTACTGATGCTTCCCACTCCTTCCCGTACGCACAGTTCGGTCTGTGTATACAACTAAGGGATAAAACACAGACTGCGCCATAAAATGTCTTCATACGCATGACATTCAAGTGAAATCCTTCTGTTCCTCTATTTTCATGTTATTTCCTCAAAATGGTTTGCGCAGTTTGACTGATCAAAAATTATACTTTATGATTTTTGTTCAGGTTTTGTCAGATGTGCAAAAAACAGTGCCGCGATCAGAACGGCTTCAAATGTCATTTGACCAGCGAGACGCATCAACGGCAGCTGCTGCTGTTCGCAGAAAACTCAGACACGTATCTCAAAGAATACAGCGAAGAGTTTGAAAATAACTTTTTGAAGGTATAAATAAGTTTTTTGCTTCCGTACTTCCTGTAGTTGTTTTGGACTTTTCCTTGTAATGCACCTGGTGGGTGGTTTTAAAATTTTGGGCATATGCTCCTTCATTTTTTTTTACTTTTGGTAAATTTCCCTAGCGAAATGCTCAAAGTAGAGAAGTGGGCATAAAAATCAACACAACAAAAGCAGAGTTGATATAGAATGATGTAGGATGCCGATAAGTTGATTGTTATGTTTGTCTTGGCCAGAAAGTAAATATGTTCGGCAATCTCAACCAAATTGCACACCGAGGGAGCTGCCAGTTGGTGCAAATTTCACAGCATCGTCGGTTCCCTCAAATTTCGAAATGGAGTGCCTACCTCTTCGGTACCACTGTGCTGAAGGCAGTGACTTACGGAGACGAACTTGGTCGCTGAAGAATGTAGAAAAGCGAGCGTCAGCTGTGGTGGAGAAGGCTACGAAGTGAAGAATGCCTAGCCTGTCGCTCTGTGGCCGTATGCATCCAGTCTGTCTTACAAGTGATGGGAAGATGAGAAAACAAAAGGCAGTTCGGGCCTGAAAGGCCCTGTGACGAAAACAAGAAGGGGCTGGAACAGCGGCCCAATCAGCAAAGGGTATTAGACGGCAGGGACCGCACCAGTCGTGCATGCAATAGGAAAATACAGGGGTGGGACGGTAGTCGCCCAAGGTCCGTGGTGATAATGAAAGAAGGAAAATAAAAGGATCCGATGGTGGAGTACGTTGCTCGCCTTGTTGATAATCGGTAGACGCCGCATGCCAAGAAGTGCTACTTACAAAGTATGCAACCATTTAAGCGATTTTCGAAAAGATAACACAGATATATCGAACAAACGACGGGTCTGGCCAGAGTTTGTCAGCTTAGGATCGAAGAATGTGACGTAGCTGCACTAGTTTAGTTGTATCACTAACAGGAGATCCTCAGACCGGTTGTGTTGGTAATCTTGGTGTTTTTAGTATGTGATAAGAAATAAGAAGGTACATTAGTAGGAAGGTGTATTGCAAACGGATGAAAAGAGATGAACAGAAAGGAAGGTGAGAGATGAAAATTACAAAATTTGTAAATTAATAAAATTATTTTAATGATAGGAATTGTTTCGGTCCATCAAGTCGTATACATTTCTTGCCATTACCACAATTAGACCTCGTCAGTACAACGACTGTGGTACTTCCAATTAACAGATGTTAAGATAAATCTGCAGACATTTTAGGATAGTTTGGTCACGTGAAGCACATTGGGTTACGTGCGCCTTATTTTAAAATTGAATCTTTTTCCGATTTTAGGTATTGCGAAACACCTACGGCACGAAACGCGTTCGTGCAAACGAAGTATATCAAGAATACATTCGCGACAAAATGCACACCCATATGAACTCAACGAAATGGCATACACTGACGCATTTTGTCATTTACTTGGGTAAATCGGGCAAATGCCACGTGGATCAGACTGAAAAAGGTGAGCGATTTTGCTCTCATCCGTATTTTTTGTGTAGTGGAGACAAAAAATTAGTTGTTTTCTTACTTATAGTAACAGGCATTGTTCTCAGATCTCAAAACGTGCGTTTTTCTTACCACCCAGAGCGTCTCCACTGAGTACTATCTTATAATAGGTTGGTATATCGCGTGGATAAACCAGGAGGAAGAGCTGAGAAAGCAAGTGGCCATGCATAAAGAAAAAGCAGCCCATGACGACGAGGAGCGACAGCAGCAATTACTCAACGAACAAGTAGAAAGGTATGAAAAAACAAATCGAATAAGTTTCGTTTGTTTTTTTTCACCTTTACATTTATTTGATTTGAAATATTGTATTTTACAGAGCTCGAGAAAAGCTGCAGTCGT